CACCAGGTGCTCAGGCATGTGGACCTGATCAGACGCAGTTTCTCACCTGGGCCTAATTCTCAGCTTGCCAAAATCCATACTCATTCCCATGCAGAGAATGGAGTCCCTTCTCAATTCTACCTGGGCGACAATGTCCCTGCTAGAGTCCGGTTTTCAGGCCATAGTGAGCCTCATCTCAGAACTGCAGAGGTACTAAAGATGTTAAGAAGCGTGTCATTGACTAATCGTGTAGCCGATACAAATTGTATTGATTACATGATTAGTCAGTAAGTGACCCCATTGTGACACTGCAGTTTAACTGTAGTGATAGCTGGGCATGAAACCACAGTGGGGGTAGGTTTGGGTCCTGGTATGAGCCATCTCAATCCTCAGGTGCTCTTTTGGCTTTTGCCCTCCCCCTCATTTGCACCCTTGTCCACCTGATTTCTGACCTACCTTTCATACAAAGTGGACTTTCCGGTAGCTATTACTTCCACTTGATGGGTGTCAGAGCTGAAAGCCCTCACCTCAGAGCTCCCATATCAATTTTTTTTATAAGAACAAGGAGCAACCCCATCCTCCCTTCCTGTCCAAGGTAGTGTTCCCTTCTCATGTCTACCAGAATGTTGTTCTTCCCAAAGCCGCTTAACATGGATAGAGAAAGGGCGCTGTACTCACTAGATGTCAGATATGCCCTTACTTTTTATCTTGAGTATAATAAACCTTTTCAATAGTTGATGCAGTACTTAATTTCTATTGCGGACCACATGAAGGACCTCCTGATTGTCACAGCGTCTGTCATCCTGGATCACTATGTGTATCAAGCTGTGCTGTGATTTGGCTCAGGTGCTGGCTTCACCTATCAAAGCCTACTTCACTCAGGGGTAAGCCTTGTCGGCGGCATTTCTGGAACAAGTCCTGATTAAGGACATCTGCAGGGCTGCAACATGGTCCTCAGTACATAACTTCATGACTCATTACACCTTCACCCAGCAGTCCTCGAATAATATGGCATTCAGCAGAACTGTACTGCACTTGGCAAAGAGTTGAGGTCTGACCTCCTTGGTACACACTGCTGGTAAGTCACATATTGGAATGTACACCAGCCATCACTTGAAGAAAGAACGGTTACTTACTTTTATAACTGCTCTTTGAGATGTGTTGCTCATGTCCATTCCAGACCCACCCACCTCCCCTTGTTGAGACTGTTCTGACAAGAAAGCACCGAAACGGGAGTTGGGTCAGCAGGGTTACATATGCGATGCTGTGAGGAGTCTTTACAGGGGGACGCTACAGCTGACCCAATGAGTACCGCTAGGGAAAAGTCTTCCAACAATTGTGCATGCAGTGCACGCACATATAAACTGGACATGAGCAACACACCACAAAGAAAAGTTTAAAAAGGTAAGTGATTGTTCTTTGTGCTGCATCCTCTAAGTCGGGGTGGGCAAAAGCCTCTCACTGACCGGATTCAGCACTCCTTGGGCTTTGATCCAGCCCATGAGGCAATTACAGGCCCCGCAGGGGGAAGGGAAGGAGCTCAGCCCCCCCTCTCCTTCCCCATGCTGCCACTGAAGAGGAGACAGTGCTGGAGCTGAGGCTTCTCAACAGGGCTGGCCCCAGAGGAGCGGCTTCCGCTACCACGTGGTCTGGGGCTAGTCCTGGAGGCTGGAGGTGCCGCTGCAATGGCGGCCACAGGCCGCATGACCACTGTAGCAGCACCTCTGGTACAGTAGCAGTGCCTTCGGGCTGGCACCGGGCCGCGGTAGAGGTGTCTCCGGGGCTGGCCTTGCCTCAGGCTATGGTACTGGCACTTCCGGGCTGGCCCTAGGCCTCCTGGCTGCAGTAGTGGTGCCGTTGTGACTGGCCCCAGACCCTGTGGCTGTGGTACAGCCCCAGGCCACAGTGCAGGTGGCTCCAGCTTCCTGGGTGGCCTGTGGCCACGGTGCTTCGGGGCCAACCCCGGATTGTGTGGCTGTGGCAGCAGTGTCTGTGGCCTCCGGGAGCCCATGGCTGCGGCAACGAAGCCTCCCTCTGGGGAGGCCAGGACCTCGTCGCTGCAGCCGTTGCTGCAGCCGTTGCTGCAGAGGAGCATGAAGCCAGGGAAGGTTCCCCCTCATGTCCAGACTCCCCAGTCGCGTCACTTCCCCCCTCCCTAAGAGCCAGCACCCCCAGCTTGCTCTGACACCCTCCCTTATTCTTGCATCCTCTCTCCTGGCCACACGCTGCACCATCCTTTGGTTCTGCTCTCTCCACCTGGCCAGACACCCTACTCCCAGCCTGCTTCTGCACCCCATCTCCCTGCCAGATCCTGCACCCTGTTCCTATATTACTTGCTAACAGCCCTGTCTCATGCACCGGAGCCCAGAGCCATAAAATCCACTAATTCCAGAAACCCAGAAAATCTGGTCTATGGAAAGCCCTGAACCTCAGTTTCTCCCTTCCCTTCCCTTCACCCTGTGAGGTTGGGGCATGAGAGGGAGTGAGGTGTCTCAGTTGGGGCCACATCAGTGAGCGATGGTGGGGTGAGGTTGGAGGAGTGTTTTTGCTTCTCACTTGTGTGGGCCCCAACTGATTGGTGGTGGTTTTTTTTTTTTTGTTTTTTGTTTTTTTGGTGGGTCAGTGACCCCAGACGCAAAAGAAGTTCCCCACCCCTGCCATAAATAAAGAATGTTGAAACCTTTTGTGTTGGACATATTTTACTTTATTTAAAATGAGGTTTGATAAACTTGCATGAGGAAGTTAAAATTCTTAATTTGTTTCATAATTTAAATTAAACTGTTCTTATTAGCTGCAGCTGGTTCAGAAAATGTCACTGTACCCAGCAGGGTAGTTCTCAGCTCCCCCCCATCCACCCGAGGCCCCACCCCTTCTGTGTCAGCCCGTGACCACTTCCAAAATTTGTAAAGTGGCTCCCCCCCTTTCCAAAATTATTGCCCACCCCGATCTAAGTGGAACTATCCTGAACAGGACACTCTTTTGAAATGTTTGAGTTGAAAACAATTTGAGGCAGGTTGAAACAAAGATGTTTGTTTCAACCTGATTCAGTTTTTTTGTTTTTGTTTTCATGCATTTTGACACAGGCAAAAGAGGACTAGTTTCACAAAAATGCTTGCTTTCTTAAGAACTAGAGTCCCATGATTAGAAAATTTACTTGGGAACTGGGAGAGACCACAGTACAATCTCCCTCTCAGAAACAGCTAAGTGTCTGAACCATTTTACTATGGGGGTATTCTGGTGTTGGGCCCTGCATTTCCTTTTGTTCTACTAATATAATTCTGGTAAAAAGATGGTCAATTACATTATTTGAGAAGGTATTGGTGCAGTTTCTCTCTTGGCTTGTTTACTGCGCTAACAAACTGTATGATAAAACATAATGTAATGTTTAGAGCAGAGTTTGCTTTAGCCCTTAAACTTAAGGGACAGTATCATTTGTCAGATTCATTACAATTCTGCAAAAACAGATGACTTGTTTTGTTCTTGATTTGTTGCAAGCAAACTGGACTCGTGTGAACCTGTTGGTCAGAAGAAATGGAAATGGGCACCTTAAATGAGCTCTCATTTCAGTTGTTATCCTACTAAAAGCAGCCCATCTGCAGCATGTGCATTAATAGTCATGAGTTAAACTTCATAAGAGGGGATGTCTTTTGTTTGAATATGTTACTACCGCTTTTGCAAAATTATGCTTTGAAGGAAAATCATTGTTGCCCAGTTATGATACTCTAACACCTGAGAGGCAGCTTCGGCAGATTTTAATTGAACTTAAAGTTGAATAGGAAATTTGGTTAAGGCTCCAAAGTCAGTTTAATACAGTAAGTTTATAGGAGCAAAATTACCCCAGCTAGTGACAGGGAGGAATAGAATCAGCACAAAGGAATTTCTAGTTCTTGTGTGAATTTAGGGATAACATCATCTGTCATGTAGCCAAATCTCAATTGGGTTGTGGGGGTAAACTAGAACAGGCAGGTGAGTGGAATCTGCACAAGTGAGAAGAATATTTAAGTGTAGTTAAGTTGGCTGGCTGGCAGAGAAGAGTTGACGAAAGAGGTGTTGAATGTGCATGCTTAGCTGGATAAAGGGGCTAACAGGTGGTAAGCAAAGTAGTGAAAATAGATAGAACTGGTGTTATTTAGCTTTATTTGCGAAAACAATAGAAAGTGGTGTGAATTGAGTTTTGGAAACCCCTCTCAGAAGCGGCCATGATGTGCCAAGATTTAGTTCCTCATGGCCCATCAGTAGGTGAGGGTCCCAGAAAAACATGAGGGTCCAATACAGATGAGCTAGTCATCCTATGCCAGACTTGCCACTAGCAGGATGAATGGGTTTGTTGATTTTGAAAACTTTGGCTTTTGTTGAAAGGTTCAGAATACAAACAACTATTTTTTTCAGTTGCTGAAAACTAAAAAGCTTTTGCAGAAAACATGCATACCCCAGAAATTTTCAGAATTTAAAAAATTTAATTTTCTATAGCGGAAAAATGTTCCTAAGAATTTGTTTGACCATACTTTCCACTTATAAATCTAGCCTTTCTGAACACTGGGGTGTTAGCAGTGAGTGGAGGGGTCAGAAAATGAATATCCGAGTGGAAGTTAGTTCTAACCAGCTTTTTGCTGGCTGGTGTTTAGTCTACCATGAGTCTAGTTTTATCGATTCTGTATGGACCTCTGGTCATTTTAATCTCACTGTTTTAAATAAAACTAAACTGAGAGCTGTTTAATAGTCGCAACTTAATTTTTACAATTGAAAGTGAGAATTGAAAGTCACCATTTGGTCCATAAAAAGCAATCTGGGTCTCCAAATTTGGATTGCGGAGTTAGAAGAGGGAGTATCAGTTTTCTAAAGTTGGCTTTAAAAATAATTAATAATAAAGAAGAATGTGGAATAAAGCACCATGTGAGGATGTAACCTGGTGAGCTGCTTGGTCAGAAGGGGTGTTCCGGAAACCTACTAATGATTTCTTGGTTACAAATTATTATTGTAAAGGTAGCTAATTTATTTTTCCCCTTTTATCCTTCTTATAGTTGTCACAGGAGCTACAGATGGAATTGGAAAAGCCTATGCAGAAGAGGTAAGCCTTTTTTTCCCCTTTAGAAGTATCAGAATTGATACAGACCATATCTGGACTCTGGAAGTAAAATAGTATAATGCCATCCTGAATCATGCAAATGTGCACTAATTCTGTCCTTGTTCAGTTTTACCTGAAATGTCCCCATTTGTGTATTACACGTGGAGTATGAATATGTAAACTGGTATCTTGCACTTTTGCTTGGCTTTTAGACTGGGCAGCGAATCTGGCCTACAATAGAACAAATAAAGGAATATAATGTATATGATTGGGGTAACAGTTAATTTTGTTACAAATTGTATTTTCATAGAGTTATAAAGAAACAATCTAATCTGTTTCAGTTAAATATTGGTTTAAGAGCCTAAATTCTAATTTCCAAATTCTGCCACTGACCTTATTCTGAGATTGGGAAAATTATTTAACCCCTGCCTCAGTTTTCCTATCTGTAAATGTAAATATTCTCTTACCTCAGAGCTTTATTATTGAAGATCTTTTGTACGTGTCTTTGGGGTGAGGAAGTAAGGTGTACTACCGTATATGCTCACTGATTTATTTTTTCCTTTCTTTAGCTATTGTAAATAATAATAGCTATTTCTTCTTCGAGTGATTGCTCATGTCCATTCAACTTAGGTGACCCATGCTTCCCTCTGAACAGGTTCAAGTTGCTTGCAAGTTTCAGCTGCATGGTTGACTATGGCCAGGGTTTACCTATGCATTCTGGAACACATAGCAATGTGCAGCTATGTCATGCAGCTAGTTAGGCTCAGGATGTACTGTCTGCAGCTATGGCTAATCTCAGTTTACTCTCCGGCCAGGCATTGACTAGGCAGAGTGGTGATCTTCCCATCACACATCCTACAGGTACCAAATGTGCCATTCCAACAGCTGTGGGACTCCCTGGAGTTGGTTTCCGACACATTCAGTTGGGATTGCAGAGCCCATCTTGGCACATTGTGGACAGAAGGAGAGTTGATTCTTGCAGAGTTGAGCCTCCACATAAATGTGGGCTGTATTAAGACCATGCGAGATGTTTCTCCCACACTTGTTGGGCAGATGGTCCAGGTCCTCACGGACAACGTAGCCAATGTTCTAAGTCAACAGACAGGCAGGAACTTGTTCCGCAGTTCTCTATCAGGAGGTATTAGGACCCTAGGACTTCTGCGTCCTGCACAGTATCTCCTTAGAAGGGCCCATCACCTTCCCATCCCCAAGAAAGCCATTTCAGAATGCCTGAGTGGGCAGTTATGTTTTCACCACAAGTGGGCTTTTCACCCAGAAGTGGCTTCTTGTGACTTGTGCTCTTCTGAGATTGGGAGTCTCCCAAAGTGGATCTATTTGTAACCAGGCAGAATGTAAAATGCTCCAGGTTTTACTCCAGGCAGGACCTGGAGGAGAATTCCTTCGAGGACATCTTCCTTTTCCCATGGTCAGAAGGAAGCATATGTTTCCTCCACTTCCCCTAATCGGCAAGGTACTGCAGAAGATGATGCAGGCTGCAGCGCGAGTGATCCTCATGGATATTTTGCTGCAGCAGCTGTGGCTGCCTCCGGTCTAGACAGCTCTTTTGTCACAGGATAATCTGTTGCACCTGGATCTGCAGCCCTTCCACTTCATGGTGTTGCCGATCCATAGCTAAATGTGCAGGAGTGTAGGCATGCTTGTTGGAAGTAAGGCAAGTCCTCTTGGAAAGCAAAAAGCCATCCACAAGATCCATCTATGGTAAAATTGATCCTATTCTCTGTCTGAGAGGAGAGTGAACCCCATTGAAGCCCCTCTGCAGATGATACTGGACTGCCTCCACCTGGAACACTCGGATCTTGCTCTAGCATCAACCAAGATCTACCTAGCTGTGATCTCTGCCTTCCATCCACCCTTTTGGGACCATTCCGTGTTTTTTATCTTGACTTTTCAGCCAGATTCTTAAAAGGTCTCAAGGCTTTTCTCACATGCTCCTGCTCCCCTATCTCCGTGAGACCTTAATTTGGTTCTGTCTGCACTATTGAGACCTCCCTTGCAGCCACTGGTTTCTAGTTCCATTCTCGCTGACACAAGTGAAAGGGACTTCTTGATAGCAGTAGCATTGGCTACGAGGGTGTCTGAGCTCCATATCCTCACATCATGGCCTTCTTTCATGGATAAGTTGCAGCTTGGAACTCATCCAACCTTTCTTCCCACATGGGCCAGGATATATTTCTTCCTGTTTTCTATCCTAAGCCCCATAAGGCCAGCAAGGAAAGGCACCTCCATGCTTTGGATGTCAGGAGAGCACTCACTATCTACCTGGCTCATATGAGGAACTTCTGTAAATCTGACGAGGTCTTCATGGCATAGGCAGACTGTGTGAAGGGTCTTCTGATCTCTTCAACAGATTTCCAGGTTGATGACTTCCTGCTTCAGGACATGATATGATTTGGCAGGGGTTGAACTTTTGCCACTGGTGAGGGTGTGCTCCACCAGGGCCCAAGCCTTTTCAGACACTTTCCTAGCCAATGTCCTGATTGTGGACATTTGTAAGACTGCAACATGGTCTTCGGTTCACGTTTTCATGTCCCACTATGCCATTAGCAACATGCCAGAGAGGACGTGGGGTTCATCAGAGCTGTATTGAATTCTACATGTCCCTAAACTTACTGCTTGGAGTCATCTAAGTTGAATGGAAGTGAGCAATTGAAGAAAAGACAGTTGCCTGTTTCCGTAACTGGTGTTCTTAGAGATGTTACGTGTGTCCATTCAACATCCCCTTGTCCTATGTCAGAGTTTCTGGCAACAAGAAACTGGAAAGCGAAGAGGCCGGAGGCACACACATATAGTGCTGCATGTGTGTCATCTAGGGGGCGCCAGAGCTGAGCCCCTAAGGATACAACCGAGGAAAAATCTTCTGGTGCCAGTACATATGGGGTAGCGCACACACCACGTAAGTTGAACGGACATGAACAACACATCTCCAGGAAAGCCAGTTACAGAAACAGGTAACTGACTTACTTCACTTTCTCTGTTACCAGTCAGTATATATTTTATAGTATTTGAACTACGGGATATTAGTGTATAATCATTAATACAATTAACTGATAAGCCTGGGCTCATTGGCTAATCCTAATGGCTACACCCACCCACCTCCTTGCCACCTCAGTATCAGAGGCAGCAGAGGGAGGGAGGTGATGGACGGCTGGCTCCTGTGGCATTTCCTGTCCAATTTCTCCC